TTTGAGTAACTGGTGAAGGCAAGGCCGGTGGCCCACATTCCGCGCCTCAGGCTGGCGTGCAAGACTTCTTCCGCGACACGTTCCCCACCAATCGCCCTAACGGCCACCCACAACACGGAACGAAGCGCTTCGCAGCCACTACCATGCGGAGAGTGCCACACATCCGCTAAGATGGCTAGCCGCATAACGTGAGGTGCGCAGGCCCATTGTACCCTAGAATCGGAACTTGTATACGCCTCCAACGCACGGGACCAGTTTCGCTCGGCAAGTATTGTTAACATGCGCATATCCGTAATAAGCGTCGGGTAAGCATGCAGTAGCCGGGGCGGAAGTGTGATGGCTTGTATCAGACCTTGTACGCTGGGTAATTCGCTAGCATCTCGCTCCTGCACAACACGACGCAATAAGCGGCGCTGTATGTTTGAGGCCCATGGTGTGCATGGAAGAAGCCTCAGAGACTGCTCCCACGTGAGCAGACTTCCCACTGGGCTTTGTATAATCTTGCTTACAGTAAAAGGTGACAAATACGGTGCCAGACGCAAAAGTGGCTCAAGAAGCTGAATACCACCAGGCTCGAGCACATTTTTCGCCATTGCACTAGCAAGACCCTCCACAGCGCGTGCAGAACAGTGATCCAGGGCATCCCGCTCAACCTCACTGGAGATGGCGCACAGCGCCGCTTGCCATGTTCTTACAACTGCATTGCCATAAGGTGCCACAGCCATAAGTGCCATGATCTCCCGCGACAAAAGGGAAAGTATGACAGCACTTTGGCTTTTTCGTTTATTGGTCCTTTTCTTCTTGCTATTATTGCCAGCAGCAGCAGCAGCAACAACGGTGTTCGCAGCGGTGTGCAGAGAATCAAATTGTGGGTCCATGTTTGTTCCCGTCCTTTTGGCGCCCCCCTCTGCTTCCTCCTCCCTGACAGGAAGAATTTCCCGTCGGCGCGCAAGAAACACCTCCGTAATGGCAACAATATGGGCTTCCGCTGCTATCATCTTCGTACGGCGAGTGGCAGCGGCAAATGTGACCGGAAGCAGCCCCAATGCCCTCTCCCCATCCTTTTCGGCAAGATTCTCTCCGATACGATAGCGACCATCCTCCTCCCCCTCCCCCTCGCCGCCTCCCTCCTCTGAGACGGAGGCGGCGGCCGGGGCACGAGAGACTCCTCGCCTAAACTGTCCTTGAAGGAACTGTCGCAAGATGCTCGTCACGACGTACAAATCCTCCACCTCCAACGTGTGGGTCAACCCACACTTGACGACGAGCTGAAAGCAGAGGATGCACAGTGTCGCGCGAACACGGTGTGGATGTGCTGCTGTTCGGCGCCAGACAAACGACGGCGACAAAATTCCCTCCACAGGGCCACAACCCAACGGAAGGCCAAATGACTGCCGCAGAAGTGCTGCAAACTCCGCGGCGGAAAGAGGACGGTTTGGTACAACACCCAATTGCAGCAGTAGCCGCAGCAGTCTCGCTGAAAGATCCGGGGCGTCTTTCGTCCCTTCTGTCGCCGCCGCTGACGATAAAGACGGCCTCGCATTTACAAAAGCCAGTGCAGTGATGATATTATCAACATTGAAAGGATGATGCAATGCCGCAAACGGCGATAGCGACGAGTCGGTAGAAGTAGACAAGGATGGTGTTTCTTGAAAACGTTTGCGCACCGTCTCCTTCCATAGTGCCCTGCAGATGCCCCACTGACCGTGCTGCGCAAGGACATACTTCAGCGTCTGAAGGACAGACATTGGTAATGCCAAGAGAGTTCGCAACTCCTCCGCCGCAAGCGTCTCATTCTCTTCTTTATTTTTCTCCGCAGGTGGAGGCGTATCCAAACTTGCATCCACCCATTCATTCCAACGCTGTGTTCGCAGCAACAACTTCAGTGCACGCTCCCATCGCTCTCGCTGGCTGCAAAGAAAAGCCTGTTGAGCATCCTCAGAGATGCGCAGGCTGCGCCATCTGTCATCAGCGGCCGTACTTGTACCATGATGATGACGATGATGATTGCCATCATGTCCGCCGCAGGTCTCATCGTCACCACCCGCCCAAGCTGCTTCCCCGAGAGACAAACGGTTGGTGCCGCTTCCGTCATTGTCCTCGTGAAATGATCCCACACCAAGCGATGGAAGAAAGGAAAATGACGGAAAGCAGCCACGGGCACGAAGAGGCGCGCAAGAATAAAGCAATAATAACACCTGGTCGGCTACAGCGTACCCCATGTCACTCAGCTCCAGCTCATCCACGGCACTATCCACGGCACCGCCCTGCAACCCAATGTCAACTATAAGGCGTAGAAATCGTGACATCAGTGTCACCGCTAGCTGAATGCACTCCATCAACTGCGGTCCGTTATCCTGCAGACCGTTCAATGCGGTTCGCAAGTGCCACGCGCACCACCGAAGCAACGCCACCGTCTCCAGTGAAGTAAACGGAGCCGCTGCGTCACCATCGTCATCTCGCGTCAAAGAAAACGAGGTCTCCTCCTTCTCCTCCTCTCCATTCATCGGCATATTCTCACTTCCGGAGTCCAACGGCAGTGCATCTGTACCCAATGATGTTATACTTTCTTCATCGTGGGAGCATCGACCAAACGCAAGCGTCACGATAGATGCCATCCGGTCATTTGAAATGGACAATGCGGCCTCCGTGTATCGCAGCACAAGCTCACTCCGCCGAAGTCCGTTTGCCGGCGTCAGTTGCTCATAACCGCCCTGCAGGGGAACAAGAGGATCACCGTACTCTCCTGTGGATGCAATGAATTCGGCCATGTGTCGAAGAACATGAAACAAGGAGTTTTTCTTGCGGCCTCCATGACTGCTATTCCTACGGGTGGTGTGCTGTATCCCTGTTGGGCTGGAAACAAAGCGTGAGTAATTGAAGGAAGCTCCTTTTCCTTTCGCCTGCTCCATTGCCGCAAAGTAATGACATTCATGTAACAAACGTTCCTTTCTTGTGGCGCTCAGACCTTTTTGGTACCGCAAACGACGTCGCACCTCCATTAAGATGTCAGAGAAGGGCATTCCACCATCGGGGCCCTTAACAGTAGCAATCCCCCTATTGATTTTGTTGTTGTTGTTGCAACAGCGTGTGGATGCATTTCTCATGCGTGTTACAACTTTGTCCTTCACACTCACTCTTCTTTCTTTTTGATGTTGTTTGTTCGTTTGGTTTCCTCTCTCTCTCTCTCTCTCTCTCTCTCTCTTTATGTTCCCGCAGCGCCTTGTTTCCCTTATAATTATATTCGCCACTCTTCCCTTTTTCAGTTCGCTCCAATCTCTCAACGCATGGGAGGCACAACAGGAGCTGTGATAAAGAGACAAGAAAAACAACAGAAAAAAAAAAAAAAAAGAGAGAAAAGGACGGAAATAAGTTTTTTTTTTTTTTTTTATGTATATAAATCTGCACGCCAACAGGGAAAAAAATAATAAAAATAAAAATAATAACAAAAGAAAAGGCAAGTAATTTATTTCTTTTTTTTTTTCTATTATTTTTTCACTGACAAATGACACGCACACAGAGAGGAGCATATCTATAAATAAGTAAATATGGGCCAATGCACCCAACATGAATGCCAAAGACTATCGAAAGGCAGCTCTACCCCCTTCCCCGTATGACTCGGTCCCTACCTGCTCACAACGACAGCTGCATCCATACACCGGGCACTTGCGATGAGTTGAGAACCACTCCTGAAGATGATTCGCGTGCCCACCATGCAGACACGCGGTACACCATGCCAAGCTGTCCTGGGCACACGACGACCGCAAGTACACGAGGGACGAGCAGACAGAGCAGTGAGAATGGCCGGTGGCAAGCAACGGATAGGAAAGTGCACAATGTTGGAGGGGGTCAGTTTTGGCACTCAGGGCACTTGTAGATGGCGACAAACTGGAGAGAGAAGGTTGAAAAAAACGTCGCGAGTAGAACTGTACTTCCGGATACCGCAGTCGCTCCTGCTGCCGTTGATGGGTCGTTGTTTGCGGTGGGAGCTGAAGGACGTGAGACTCGCGCAACTGCTGACACGCCAAGTCAAACATGGTGCGCTTGACAAACTCCCCCTCATCGTTCAGGAATGTACGGTAGGCAGCCGCCCACAAATCCCACGGAGAGGCTAAATACTCCGGCTTGGCAGCGCCCATCCTGTCTGCTCCATCGACGCGGCCCTGTAGAGAAGCAACTAGCGGAGTTGATGTGGTAGAAACAGAAGCAGAACTCGCATCACGTGCCCCGATACGTGCAAAGAGGCACGCGGCCAACTGAAAGTCCCCAGTGCAATCCACAATCATCTGCATCAGCGGACATGTCCTCTCGGAAATCCCTTCTAGCAGCAGAAGCCTCTGCAACATATTACACTCCCGTGCAAAAGTACTGCTAAGAATCGAAATAAGCCGTGATGTGTCGCTCTCCAAGATGACCGCAATGGCAATACGATCCCAAAAGGGAAGCCCGACATTTGTGTATATTTTTGTTCGGTTCATTTCATGCAAAAAGACAACCTGAAGCCATGGGCTCCATTGCTTTAAGAAACAGTCCTGCGCCTCCTCCATCGCACCGCCACGGAGGGTATTTAAAATAAAGTCCGGGTACTCAAGAAGTCCTGCGATGGTTGTGTACTTTGAATTCAGCTGCTTATGCCGCTGAAGAAGCGTGACAGCACGCGGCCTCCGGTTGTGGAGCACCTCCACGGCCACTGCGCGCTCCAGCTCGTCACACCTCGTGTACTCGCACATCTCATTGTTCCCCTCGCCGCACGAGAAGGACTCCTCCGATGGAATCCAGTTCAGTAGCTGCAGCAGCAGCAGTCGACGCGAGTCGTTCGGCGAGGTGGAAGAGCCGCACACCACGGTGATACCGTGCGGCAGCAAATTGAGGGCCATCAATTTTGTTGTATTCGGGGCGTTTGCAAGCGAAAGCAACTCAATAATGCTTGGAACCGGTCCGCTGCTGCCCACCGCACCCACCGTCTCCATGATGCTGATGTACGCAAACAAAACACGCAAATCCTCATCCGACGGGTCGTTAAACTCGCAAAGTGCCTGCACGTTGGCTGCGGCAGGAACACCGAAGCCGGCTACCAACCGCCTCTTCATGCGCTGCCCCGTGTCCATCTGATGCACATCGCCGCTCCCGACAAAAACCGACCCACAGAAACTGGCAGCAAAACATCCTGATCCCAAAATGGAAATCCTTGCATCTGCGTCCACTGGAATGGTTGTGAGTTCGCCCGCGTGGTTGATACCAACAATGCGGGAAAAGGCACCCGCACCCTTCTTGACTCCGGGATCGTCGCGCGCAGTGGCACAGTGGAAACAAACGTCTCTACAGCCAACGCCACCACATCCACTGCCACCTGCCCCTTTGTTATCATGATGATCATGATGATGATGCTGACGGTTGCCATTCCCACGTTGAATTCGTGCCGCCTTTGCAGCAGCCCTGCTGTCATGCGAACGACAAACCTTACGTCGTGGTCCGGATGAATGCAGCATGCGCCTTGCCAACATGTGTTCCCGCACTAATACACCACGTGTGTTGTGCAACGACAACGAACTGGTAGGCGGTGCCAGTTCGGGCAGAGCATGTGTCGCAGCAGATATAAACTCAATGTTGATAAGCGAATGCAATGGAATTGGTGCTTCACGTTCCCGGTTAAATGTGTACAAGGGCCGCGGTAATGAAGATGACGAGGATAAAGAAGTCTCCGTACCCTCCTGCGACGCCGCCTCAAATCCCTCCTCTGTCTTCGCAAGGTGCAGCACATGCACAGCACCCTCTACGACGTTACAGATGGCCAATTGCCGATCAGCACTAAACTTCCACGAGCAGCTGTAGTAAACGTCATGACGCGGGACACCATGAAATGTACGCTTTTCGGCGGCAAGAAAAAGGGTGCCGCCAGTCGTCCACTCAAAGACATGCAGCACACAAGCATCTGGCTGCTTGCCTGTCTCTGCCGACCTTCCGAAGGAAAGGCAGCCCACAATGGGCAGGCAGGGGTGGCAAGCAAGAAAACTGCAGCCGACGCATAAAACAGAATACAGCGGAGCCCCCGGCTGTTCCGTGGAGAAGACATGAATCGCGCGCTCCGCCCCAGCCACAACGTGCCCAGTCGCTGGGAACCAGTCACTTGTTAAGAATCCACCGGTATCGTAAAAGGCACACGAAAGATGCAAACGAATTCGCACACCCTCCCCTTCTCCGTTTTCGTGTACTTTCTGAATTGTCCCTCGCTGCCAAAAACTATTATGCATCCATATACTCGGTGGTAGCGCGCAATCACCGGAAAACCTCGTAACAGACCCCGCCTCTGTCCATCCTGCGGCCTTCTCTTGCCCCTCCACACTCCTATTCCCTCGAGAAGGACACTCCTCTACCGCTGATGTTGCTACTGTTGTTGCTCCCGTAACGGGAGTAGTGGCGGCGCCTGCATGGCCTTTGCCCATCTCTGCCTTTTGTGTGGAGGCGGCGATTGTCACATGATACCACTCAACACGACCGGACATAAATCCGACGAATACAAGTGGTTTGTCACGCATCCACGTGATTGTCCCAACGCCACGGTCCGACTCCGACATCAGACCCAACGAGGGTGAATAAAAGGCGGAGGCTCCAATCGTACCCGTGTTGGATTGAGAGTATACATGTGACGCAGCACGGTGATCCCCCTGCCTCGCAGCTGCCGGTATGGCGGCTGCCGTGGGGAATGTACGCAACGATGCAATATTCCTTCCTGGGACATAAACCACGCTGGATGTGGCCATCACCACCACAGCCATGACGCCGGTACTCGCCCCCACAAACGCCATGTCAAATCCATACAAGGAACGATTTGCCATGCTGAAGCACTGTGGGGCCAATCCAAATTCCTGGGGAAGAGTGACTGTGTATTGTACATGGGCACGTGATGTCCCCTTCTCGCTATTTGAGGCAGCGTTGGAGTCGCTGCCATTATTATTATTATTATTATTATTATTATTCCTATTGTTATTATTATTACTACTACTACTGCTAATAATACTATTACTAATATTGGCTCCCACAGTCTCTGGTTGATCGCATTCCACTGTGAAGTACATGAGTGTGTGGCCAATAAGTAAACCAAACCCGTTATGACTATCGGGCTGGCATGAGAAATACTTCATTTCCTTTCTATCTCCTTATTTATGTGTATATATGTCAAACACACACACAGCAAAATATATATATATATATAATTTATTTCTGTTACCCTACTCGGCCACGTAATCAAAGATTGAAAAAAGACGGCCTTCCCCGTAGACATTTTCACAGAGAGAAAAAGTAAATAAAAAAAAGTGAATTGGGCACATACATACATATATATATACATATATGTGCGCACGTTAAAAAAGAAAAAAAAAGAAAAAAAGAGAAAATCGGGTGCCACCACCACCAGTAGTAGTAATAGCAGCAAAAGCAGTACCGCTGTCAGCACACACTGAAAAACAAAGGGAAATTTACACGTACACTCAATGAAGAAAAGGGGAAAAAACAACAAAGTGTAACCAGCCACTTCATAAGAAGCATATATACCCATAAACAAAAACATAAAAATACAAAAAAAGAAAAAAGAAACACACACACACACACACACACAAACACACAAATCATGGGGACAATGAAGGGCAGTAACAATTACAAAGGCAGTCTTCTGCAGGACACTTTCTATGCTTTGCAAACCAATCGCGCAGGTGGGACCAGTGCCCCCCATGCAGACATACGGTACAACAAGTGAAGGAGGAATCAACGTCGTAGCCACTCGCAAGGGCAAACATCGGTTCGCCACAGACGACGCACATTGGTGTGAGGCAGTTAATACTGCCACACAATGACTGTTGACGACGCCCCATTATTGTCACCGTGTCAGCCGACTCCATTGGCGACGTGGCGACGACCTTCCCGCACTTGCAACGCAGCTCCACGTTCCGTTTATTCTTGCGTTTTGGTTTTGTCTTCGTTTCCGCTGCGGCTCCGCCCGCAAGTCCGCTAAAGGGTACACCCATCAGACCGACAGCTGGCGAAGAAAGTCCAACAAGCCGACCGAGAGGTGCTCCTGGAGGCGGAACGGCGTGGCGTTTCGCCAAAAACCCGCTCTGCTGCTCTCGGAGCCGCGCCAGTTTCTTGCAGCTGAGATCGTGCAGACTCCGTAGAATCGCATGCCCCTCTGCGTTAAGTTGACTGCGGTAGGCCTCGTTCCACTGACGCCATGACGCACCCTTGCCGGACCCATACAGAGCAACGTACGCCACGGGCGTCTGCACGTCACCCGTCTCGTCCACGTACCGCTGAAGGGGCACACAACTCCCCCTAACCCCCTCCACCGCGGCCGCCAGAAAAAGTGAACATCCCCCTGTCGCATTCGTGTAAAACTGTTGCTGCACCATTTCCCGCAGAACCTCACTGAGAATGTTGCATTGAGACTCACCATCGGCAGTCGGTGACGGATCCAGCAACAGGAGCGTGGCAAGGGCAATACGGTCCGATAACGGGATCTGCGGGAAGCATCGTACAAAAGAAGCAAAACACTCACGACGCGCTGAAGGCGGAGAGCGATAAAATTCACCGATATGATCCTCATCAACATCACCTCCATCATTGTTGTTCGTTACACCTTTTTTTGCGCGGTATTCCTTCTTCCTTTGGTCCGGGCCCGTGGAGGGAGTAGCGGACGTCCAGAATGCGTTCATGAAAAAGAAGCAGAGCTCAATCCAAAAACTGCATTCCGATACATCCAGTGTCAACGTCGGTGGAACCCCGTTTCGGTTTGCCGTCGCCGCCAACAGCAACATTGCAAACGTGGAGTAAAGAGGATGGAGATGATTGTAGTGACACAGCAGCGCCGAGGCCTCATTCAGGCGGAGCATGAATACAAGAATAGCAACCCGCCGCTCCACCGCCTCCTGGAATGAGGCCATCTCAACGTGGTCGGCTGGCGTAAGTGAGGAAGCAGAGGGAGTAGAGAGCTCACCTTGAGACGTTGGCAAAAATAAATCCGTCGCCTCCACGCCCTCATCCGCACTCCCACGCGAACACAAATTTGAAGAGACGGTGGTGCTCTTCTCGCGGAGTGGTTGTTGCGGTGGAAGCCCTGCAAGGGTCGGCTCCGACGAAGAAAACAACCTGCTCGGCAGCTGCACAGTCCTTTCAACATGCCCATCATCATCATCACCACCACCACCACCACCAGCTGGCGTGAGCATCAAACGCTCCTCCCTTGGGTCCGTCACCCACCCTGCCGCTAACAAAATGAGTTTGCGCACCCCGCAAAAAGCCTCCGGTATGCCGCTGTTAATCGGAGGCCTCTCGCGCTCCAACAACTCCAGCAGCCCGGGGATGACATCTGGCACCGGCAGCGCCGCCCTTCCCGGGTACAGATAACGCTGCGCGTACCATCCGTAGCGGAATAGCACGTATGCCTCGCGGTCACTTTGTTCCTTTAAGAGAGTCGAAAGGACTTTGTCCGATTGAGGGACAAAACCGGCGCGAAGGCGATCCAGTCGGTGCAAATGGCGATCCACATGCGTGTTACCCGTATACACCCCTTTCGCTGTGGCGTTAACTACGGCAAGTGTAGCCATTCCCGCACAGTTCGTCGGTGTGCTTTCTGCTGAATTAAAAAGAGCCACACCACCCTTTTCCATCTCGTTGTAAGGATCATAATTGATGTGAGTACCTGCACTGCCCATACTGTTGTTATTAAAGCTCGTCCCATCGGGCTCCACCGATTTCCGTTCCGGCTGCCCCTCGAATAAACATCTTGAATCCAGAATGAAAACATTAGGCCCCGCGCTGCATAATGGAACGTCACCAATCATTGTTGCTTTGCAACCCACCGGAAAAAATACCTGCGGATATAATTCTCCCGTCTTTGCATCAAGAAGAAGAAGGCAGGGGATGTCGGTGCGGCTGCCACCCGCCACGCGTTGGGATGGACCATGTTGGGCGCGTTGTTCCCCTTGTTTTCCCACCCCGTTTTCTTCCGCCATTGCCCCCTCCGAGCATCGAACGTGTGAGCGGCAGCCGTCCAGCCACGCCACACTCGCCGCTGGCACACGAGGCTGTGGATGGAAACGCTCGTCAAATGGCTTTGCGGTGCGCTTCGAGAGAGAGGAGTAAAATGGAGCATACACGGAGCGCCCCGACGTTCGATTGCCTTCCGTCTCCGTCAACACCCCCTCATCCTCCTCAGTTTCTGAACGAAAATCATTGAATACATGCACCCGCAAACCGCCGTTCCGCGTTGTCGCAATGACAGTGGGAATCTCATGCGTGGACCAATTCAGTGAGGTGTACCCGACGCGGGAGTGACTTTGCCGACAGACTGGCCTGGATGTCATGCGCAGGTCCCACAGCTGCGCCACGTCCCGACGGCTCTGACTACCGACCGTTGCTACGTATATCCCCGAGTAATCGCATGCAACAAGCTCTGCAAAGCAAACTTCAGAGATGGACGAGCCGGTGCCTGCTAAGCTCATGGTAGAGGCCGGACTAGTGGTCTCGAACGGCATACCGAGATAACGAATGCCGTTATCGGGTGAACGAAGGTCCATCACTTCTACACAATGCCCAATGCCATCTGAACGTTCTGCCGCCACCACTGTTGTATGAGTACGCGGCGCCCAATCCAACGATGTCAACGTACCCTTCAGTAGACGTTCTTGAACCACATTGACGGACAATACCGAGAGCGGCATACGTTCGGTGTTGCGAGTTACGGCAGATGGGTACATCGGCGATGTGCCGAAGGATGCCTGACAACCATTGCTTACGCCAAAACTTTCTGCTGCCACCAAATTCAAAGGAAGTGACGTGGAAGAAAGCATCCCGTTGCTATTCTCAATGTTCAACAGTTGCACAACTCCACTGCGTCTACCAATCGCCAGCGCAGACGCGTCAAGTGGGTCCCAACCAGAAGCCACAATCTCCGCCCTGTGGTTATGGTAACCGGCATCGTATGGCGCCCCATCCACCGACGTGGTGCAGAGCGCAGATACGGTGTTTTCCGCGCCAATCCAAGCCCCCAAAGTTTTGCCCGAATATAAGAACCGTAATCTATCATCCCGTGCGCAGCTCAAGGACAGTGTCAGTGGCACATTTGCAAGAGACTCGTCCCCTCTGCTTTTCCCCTCAGGTGGGTTGGGCTGAAGATGTGATATGTACAGCCGCCCAAAACCCCGCGCTGCACCCCCAGCCACGCTAAGCACCTCCTCCTCACGGAATTGGGATAACGGAATAACACATGACGCATCAATTGGCGTCCCACATCTCTTCCGTGTCATGCTCGGTGGAACCGACGCGATGGGAGAGGACGGGGCGGTGCGTGTAAATGCACTTTCCCACTCATTTCCCGCGGTGTTGGACTCCGTCTGCATGCCCTCCCCTACAGCTACACTCGTTGTTATTGTTGTTGTTGTTGTGGTGATGGTGGTGGTTGCCGCCCCTGCCTTTGTTTCCCGCAGCAGCTGCGACGACGACGAAAGGCGATAAAATTTAATTTTGTGCTGCGTTGCGGTCGCAAAGACGCCTGTGTCCCCCGGCTGTTTGCAGAGCAGCATCCCG